TAATTTTTCTTAATCCTCCAGTCATTTAAGAACTCCCAATGCAGACACATATTAGTCTGTGTTCTTTCCTTGCCTTTGCACTAGGATGATTTCCTGCTCTCTCTTCAACATGATTTGTTTCAGAAACTTGAGAGATCTCTTGCACTCCTCTGTCCCCAAGACAATCTTCTGAAAAGCATCCAAATGCATCCAAGTTCCTTAAAAAACGGAACTTGATGTATTTACAAAAAGCAGATTCTGACCAAGTTTTCTTTGCTACCAGCGCAGGAGAATCAATGAACCATGAATATCTTTTACAAACCCTCGTGGGAGTCCTGCTTCCCGGCAGACTGCGGAAGAATCCATTTTGCACGTAGATATTTGAAACATTACAACAAACATCAGAAACGGAAAAAGATTTATTAGAAATTCTACACAGATTTTTGCATCATACATTTTAATAATGTTAATCTTTAAATATTAGCATGTCCAAATCTGGCAATGCCTAGTATATACATTCTAATGTGCTCTTTGTATAAATTAGGTTACGGTGTAACATCGGTACCCAATAGAGAAAGCTAAAAGTACTCGACTGTTAGAGATTATTATCCCATACAACAAACTCACGCCTGGACCAAGAATCAATAAAAACATTGTGTCCAGCACTGCCACACGTGCAAGTCCAAAATGTGGAGACCATCAGCTGAGAAAAACGTTAATTTCAGTTCACTTATAGGTTTAGTTCTACACCATATTGGTGGGTGAATCTAAATGGCACTGGAGTTGGTAAAAATCAATATAGTCTAGCATAGTAGAAGTTATTGCTGGGTTTAAAAATGTCTTAATGCTCAGTGCCCTGAGTCTCTTTAGGCAAAAGCCCTCTTCTGACAGGAAAATGCATAATCTCATCCCACACGGACACACAAGGCACAGCTCAGCACACAGCTGGCCCTTCGGATGCTTCCTGCTGGAAGACCCGGTCCCACCAGCACAGGGAGATGAGGGAGGTACGGACAAACAGCTGGATGAGCCAGTGCTGGAGTTGTCATGGCCTAGGAAGTGGGAAAAGAGGCAAAGGCAAAAGGTAGATTTTGAAGAGTTTTGGGTCAGGAATCGAACAGGGAAAAGCCAGTCGTTCTGCCAGCGTGCACTCGTTTGGTCTGGACAGAAAACTTGCACGTAACTGGTTGTGCATATGAAACAAGAAAAGAATCATAGCAAAAACCTGTAAAAAACAACTTTAAATGACATAAAGAAAACCTGTCAAAACTCAAAGAGAATGTATCTCACTAAGGGGAAACCAGAGAATCCACACAAGTCAAAAATCAGTCTGCGCAGTGCAGCTGCCTTGCTGCGGCACAGGAACAGTCGGGAAATCTTTGTCCCCTTCACATTTCCGTGACTGTCACGGGCACAGGAAGGGGAAACTGGGAAAGGCAGGGAGCTCTGTGCTCTCTTCCCTCCTCACCTTCCCAGACCCACCCCAGGCTGCACTCTTTGGAGAAACATCACTCAAGATGACAGTCAGGAAGGACTCTCAGGCTGATGCCCTTTGCTGCCCGCAAAGGCCCAGGTACGTGTGTCCCATCTATGTCCCTCTCCTCACGCTGGACTTCCACTCCGCTCAGTTTCCATCGTGTACTTTCAGAACCAGCTCTTCAGCCTTTCCCAAAAACCTCCTCAGAGGCTGACTCTGGGCTCGCTCCTCAATGTCTCTGTACCTCCCCAAGCCACGAAACTATTTGTACCTTTTCACTCTGGGAGTCGGACTCCACACCATCCATACTTTAATCTCCTTTCCTCTCTAACAGCTGCAGTACAACAGTCACACAATGCGATATCCCGCCACAGAACGTCACCAAAATCCCCATCCTGACCGTTCTTCTCACGTGCTTGTCCAAAATCAGCGATTTGGTTTCTGGAGGTTCGACAGACTACCCACATACACACATACAGGCCTGTGCAGGTGTGTTTAAGAGCGGCTGTGTGTTTCGGGAGCACATGGTGACATGAAGTGATTTCATCTGCCTGCATCAGGGAAAGATCCGTTACTCCTAAGAGGCAAAGTCAGAAAGGATTTGAGGCAGTTTGGGCCAATTGTTACTGATACAGCACAACACTATTCATGTTGTATCATCACATTTTCCATTCGAGGACATTTTCAGCTCAGAACTTCTAAGAAGGCTCTAATTTTAAAGGCCACTAGAACTTTACTTTTTCAGTTCAAATTTGAGATGTCCTACAAGGGCCTGTAGATTTTTCTGAAAATCAGGCTGGTCTGCAGCATCTGTTGTGAGGTGAATTTAAATTCCTATTCAAATTCTAAGACAGCATGAAAAAACAACCGTAACTTCTGAAAAATCCAGGTCTAGAAATATAACTGCGCAGGGTTCAAAGAGAAGAAAAAAAATACAGTTAATTTAACAAATAAACAACATTCTTTATCTAAAAAATAAAACCTGGAAGACCATCTCTCAATCTCAAAGCATCAGCATTTCAAAATGAGATGTTTTGCAGGTTTGCAGACTGGAAAGTAACATTGAGCAAATGGTGAAACCAAGTATCTTCCTCCCTACTAACAGACAGCTCCTTGTTCTAACTCCCAGATAAGTAGAACTTTTTAAAGAATAAACCATTAGAACTGAGTAGAATTAGTGTTTGGTCTATGCTACTGGAGGTGCATGGGAGAATGAGCTACAGAAACAGGACAGGAAAATTGCTTTGAAAAATAATTTTGGGAAAAAAACCCAGTGCTAGATCAAACAGGATGGTTTGTGTGGTTAGAATAAGTCTTGGAGACACAGATTAGAACAAATGTCAGAACAGTGCTTGAGGCAAATGACACTGACACATTAGATTCCATACATACTTAGTGTACATCTGACAGTTGCATGAAGCACACGCCTGCAGTGACCAGAGGGTTAAGATTATCCTTCTTCTTTAGATCAAGTGGAGCCCTCTGACTTTGAAATGTTTACCAGACGCTGGGAATTAAAACAGTTTTTCTCATCCCCGCGAGTGCCCGATGCAAAGCCCACTGAGGAAAATGGAATTTTCTGTGCTGACTTCACTGCGCTTTGAACTGTGGCCGCTGGAGAGAATTGGGATCCCGGCCAATGGACACCTCCAGGGAAAAGGGGCTGCTGCAGCCACAGCAGCTCTGCAGCCTTCCTCATGGCCTCTGCTTAGCAGCTATTCTCCTCTTCCATCTCACCACGTAACGGGAGAGTCGTGTCTGAGATCACTTAAGAGCAGCTCATCCTGTGGTCTCTAGGGATGGCAGAGAGTACACTGAAAAATACTGGAGAGTTAATTCAATCTAGAAAGCACTCTCTTGCAAAGAAATAACTGGGCAGCATTTACAACGGCTTTCTCACAGCATAAGATGACAGAGTACAAGGGCACGCTAAGTGCATGCCACTGTCCTTTTTTGTCACACAGACCCTCAAAAGATTGGAATCAGACTTTCCTGTGGGTGAAGGATTAGAATAAATATCAGACTAAAACTAAGAGCAAGTGATGCTTTTCTCCTCCTGCGAAAGAAGGCATGCACTGCATCCCTCTGACTTCCATTCTGCTCAATACACTCACTGACCTTGCCCACTGTCAGCTATCCCTTAATCCTGTATTTTGCTATATGAAAACCAAAGTCTGAAATAGATTGTTTACTAATTAAATAGCATTTTAAAAACCCCAACAAACAACAAAGCACTGTGAGGAAGTCAGAGGATGAGATCAGCAACCTAGAAGATACCAGAAAATCTGTCTGAAATAAAATTTCTTCCGTGAAATGGCTTGTTTCTATTTCATGAGCCTTTTTTGGGAGTTAAGAGCAGTGCAGCATGCACTATTATCTTCTGTAAGAGAGAAATGATCCCTAGCTGCCTATGATTAACATTCACAGGGCATCAGGTCTGGTCACAGGGCTAAACACGCTAATCAAACAACAACTTTCTTCTACCAGCATAATCTAAAGCTGCCAGGCAGCCTTCTACGAGGTCCTGTACAAAGCACGCTCTCCAAGACCTGCTCCTAGAACACATTAAGCCGCCGGTTTGATCCTGCTATCCTTGGAGACAAATACAAAATTTAAATTCATGAGCTGAAATAAGAGAAGTGGTATAATGGAAATTAAACAATACCTTTCAGACATTTTACTAACTGTTATTGAGCTGGAAAGCTGTTCTCTGGCGCCTTAGCGATTTCTGTGACACAAAGGGGGGTTCCAGTTACATTCATTTCAATTTGCGGATTGAAGTTGCGGCTTCCATTGGTACTAATGTATTACTGTGCTCCTTTACAGGTAACATCACTTCCAAGCATGTACCAGTGCCCTGTGGACTACATTTTATTGGACAGGGCAGAGATTCTCAAGATTCATGCCTCTACACAGCAATTACGTATCTGTGCCAGTTATACAGGATCAACAGAGAAGAAGGAAGTTACTCCATTCAATCCACAAAAATACGAACTACTGAGATGTCACCGTATTGCTCAGAGTCGCCACCTGATTACTGGCACCTTGCAGGCTAAAGCCAGTGACTCGCATTTGCAATATTCCTATGAAAACTGTGCCCGCACAGTCAGCTGGGAAACCAAGCTCTGGCTTCTCATAATAATCAAGTAATAAAGTTGTAGTAATAAAGCTATTTTTCCTCAAAGAGATTACTTCTGTTTCACCTGAAATCAAGTCCCAGCATCTAACAGGATCTTTTAGAGATTCTCACTAGCTGGTGACGGAGCAGAGCGTGGTTTCCGAGTTACAAATGATCCTGTTATTATCGTGCTGGTTAAGCTGTGACAAGCAAACTAGTACAGTAATTGGGACAGATGTGTGAGAATAACTCAGGTTAAGGTTCAACACATCTATGTGCATCTCTCATGATGTCTTACAAAATATATGGAGGCAAGAAAACAACAGGTATTTGGGATGAGTTAAGCATGTTTTGGCAAGAAGAGCATTTTTGTGAGCTTTTTGTATTAGTGTTAATCTCCCAGCCTCCCTTGAGTGCCAGCAAAGTCCACACTGATTCAGAACTTCATTTTGTAGCAGGTCTCCTCTTGGTGGAGTCTGGTTTGAGGCAAACATTGTTTAGCACAAGGGATCCTGTTCAGAAACACTTCACGTGTGTTCAAAAATGCTTTGCAATTCCCACGTGGGAATAACATTACAGATAAATTTGGTTCATATGGATGGACAACGGATATTCATTCGGTTGCAGTCCCAGATGTAATAAAAATTATGGATGAGCTTTCTTCCAAACTAAGAGCGTAGGTTGGTTGTGGAAGAGGAGCAAGGAGATTTTTAAAGTGATCGAGTGCATCTGTAGCATTCTTTGTTCTCTTCCCCACTTCTGTCCACCTCTTGCTCTGCACCTCAGGTCTCAAAGTACTTGTAAATCTGGGCGACGTACTGCATCACGCTCTGCCAGTCTGGCCGGTCCGTGTACATCATCTCACTGAGTTCCTGCACAGCACAGACACAGCGTATGTCATCAGAACTTAGTCAGGCACCACCACTGGGAACATCAATGAGCTCTCTGAGTAGCTGTGACTACACAATTTGGCTCATGAGCCTCATAATATTTTTTCCTTCATATTAAAGTTCTCTTTCTTGTCATCGCATTTTTTTTGATTTTAGGAAAGGCTTTAAAAAAAGTTTAAGAAACAAATTATCCTTCTATTTCTCCAAACACTAAAACAAAAGGAAATAAAATGGTCTAACAGGCAAGTCTGCCCATGAAAACAGGAATCATCTAGAATCAGCTTCCAAGAAGAGAACATTATCATTACTGTCATTTCAATACTGGATGACCTCCAGAAGTTCCTTCAAATTATATTAATTCCATGATTTTACAAATTCTTTCTGGAAGTTCTCCTAACAGTATGACCTTTCAGAGATGGTGGTGCAGACTTCCCTAGCCCTGTATGAACATTTGCAGTGCAAGCTGACTGACTGCCACATGGCAACAAAGGCTTTGGAACAGTGTATGCAGTAAATCCATGCTAAGAGAAGGTTACTCACCAGACTGGGTTTGATGCCTACACTTTCAGCAGCTTGAAATGCTAGCAGCAGATTTCTCTTCTGTAAAAATAAAAGTTCAAAAGGATTATCATCAGTATGATTCCTGAACCCTACCTTGCATCTGGTTAATAGGTAAGTTTAAATGAGCAGTTATATTTGAAAACTGAAAATCACTAGACTTAATACTTTCACATGGACACTCTTTTATATTAGTAAGGTAGAGTCACAAACAAGGTCTTTGTATTTTAATAGGTCATCTTTTGCCTAAGCTACAGCCCTCTGTTTTTGACAATTAGGTTCTTGTGAAACCCACTGAGGTTCTGTCTTTGTTACGAGTGAAAGGTTTCTGAAGAGGTGTTAACTAATGTAAGGCATTCC